TGTGTGTGTGTGTGTGTGTGTGTGTGTGTGTGTGTGTGTGTGTGTGTTTAAATAAACAAAACCCTGAGAATGAAGTCAATGTATCCAAAGGAATTCCACAAAGCATAGAATGCTTCTCAGGATTCTCCTAGGTTGCTCACCTGTGTGGCACACCTATGTCCCTAGCTCGTGGGAGGCAGAAGCAGGCAGATGCTGTGGATTCTGGACTAACCTGGTCAACAACACAAGGAGCTCCAGGCCAGACAGGCTTAGACAAAATACAGGTTTTTGAAATAGTCATCAGTAGGACACACCTTACAACTTTACTAACCTGATGAACCGTAAAGCCACCGCACCCCTGAGCGTCTGAGGAACGGGTGACCGGAAGCGGCGGTACAAGATCTGTTTTTGAGCTGCCAAAGAGAAAGAGTTTACCAACAGGACGGGCCTCCGATCTTATGCCCCACCGTGGCAGGGAGCTCCGCGGGCTGTATTGCCTGGAGCCTGCGCTCAGCGCTGGCCACTTACTTCACTTCCGAGAGGACGGACCGCTCTCCGTCAGAACACTGGGATCTGCGGTACTGCCTGTAACTCCGAGGCGAGTGCGCATGCCTGATGCGGACAGGGTCACCCTGAGTCCTGGGAGGAACCCGAACAAAGAAAACACACAAACACATAACAGGCTGATGCGCGGCTTTTCCTGAGTACTAAACTAGAGACAGAACTTTCAAGCTGCTTCTGGTTGATTCTCATTTGTATCTTGCAGGTAGCTTTCATCCTTCTACCGGGTCTCGTGAAGTCCAGGCTGGCCTCAGACTGGAACTGGCAATAAAGCTAAAGATGACTTAAACTCTTGCTCTTCCAGTTCCACATCTCATCATCTGCTGGATTATAAGCATGCGCCCCAACGCCTACCTCATGGAGGGTTGGGTTTTTGTTTTGTTTTTTTGTTTGTTTGTTTGTTTGTTTGTTTGTTTTTGGTTGGTGTTTTTGTTTTAGTTTGAATTTCTGTTTGTTTGTTTTTAAGAACTTATCATTAATGGGTTTTGAAGGCAGTAGTGATTTAAATTTCTCCTTACACATGCACATGGAGCTCAGACAGTGTAGACCCAGTAGCCCAGATCTTAAGTGGCCTCCTGCCTCCGCCTCCAAATTCTGAGACTACAGAAGTGCATTACCCAGCTTGGCTTGACCACTGAAATGTAAATGCTCCTGAGAATTCAGTTGTGTTCTCTTCAGGAATATGGAAGGGGAGATCCACAGTGGAAACAGAAGAGCTTCCTCTTCCTGTCAGAAAAGGTCACTTCCAGCAGATTCAGCCTTCACTGGGAACTGGCTGATTTCTTAAATGTCCTCAGCGCGCACACCAAGATACGGTGGTAGACCTGTGAACATTCCTGACTTGATTTCACAGTGTAAACACACACGAGAGCATTACATCATGTGCCATAATTCTTAGTCTGTGCACTTGACTTTAAAAGAAAAATTCAATTCTAGACCTAAAAATGATGGAAAGAGGGCTGGCACGCTTGCCACCAAGCCTGAATCTGAATCCCAGAGAGCTCAGCACGATGGAAGGAGAGAACTGAGTCTCACAAGTTGTTGACCTTTACACATGTGAGTGGCATACACACACATACATACACACCTACATACATGCATACATGCATATATACATACATAGTAAGAAAAACTAAAAGATAAGGAGAAGAGTTTGGGCTGTGGGAAGAGCCTTCGTGTGGAGTTCGGGCTTATCATTTTTCTGAAAGGGAAAAGCTCGGTCACACATGGAAATAAAGTAATGAATGTGTGCTCCTTCCATAGTCCTGAAGAGAATTCAGGCGAACTCTCAGAAGTGTTTACATTACCAAGCAGAGCACACCTGTAATCTCAGAGTCTGGAGGCAGAGGCAGGAGAGCACTCAAGATCTAGGCTACTTCAGTCTACAGAATCCAGGCCAGTTTTCCCTTGACCCAGTTCCAGGCAGAAAACAGCCGATAATGTGCTCAGCAGTCAGGGCTGGAGCCTGCAGATTCTTGCTAATGGTTATTCACAAAGCCTGATCAGTTCAGTGTGGTCCAATGATGGGAACTGAGCTGGGCTCATATGACAAGGTTTTGTGTAAATATAATTCTCATGGTGTTAAAATGCTAGATAAAACTTTGTTATCAGTGAGTATCTCAGCCAAAGAATATATTTAAAATGGACATTATTCATCATTCATCATAACCTCTCACACACGAACAAGCAGCAGAGGAGAGCTGGGAGGCATGAGGTACAGAACGTGAGTAGTTTTATGAGTGTGGTTTGTTTGACACAGAGTCTCTCACCTTTAGCCCAGGCTGACCTGGAACTTATTAGAGACCAAACTGACTTTGAATTTCTATCAGTCCTCCTGCCTCCCAGGTTCAAGGATTAGAAACCCGAGCCACTGCACAGAGAAAACAGTTCTTTCTACCTTTTCCACCTCTTTCCTTACACTGATCTTTAGTTCATGTACAAACTGAAACACTGCATGGACCATAGCGTGAGAACGAACTGTCCTTTCCACGGTGGTTTGAATGGGAATGGCCCCTATGGGCTCCTGGTTGAGTCCTTAGTACCCAGTTGGCAGAACTGTTTGGGAAGGATTGGGAGGCGTGGCCTGGCTGGAGGAGTGTCACGGAGGTGGGCTTGAGCTTTCAAACAACTTGAGCTGTTCCCAGTGTGCCCTCTCTGCTTCCTGCTGTGGATCAGAATGAGCTGTCAGTTGTTTGCCGTCACCTGTTGCCTTTGCTCTGCCATCCCGGGCTCCAAACTGGCTTCTAACCCTCCAAAACTGTAAGCCAAATTGAACACTATTTTTTTTTTAATGTTTCCTTGGTCATGGTGTTTGTTACAGCAGTAGAAAATAAAGGGAGACACCTCCACACTAATAAAACCGTGCAAAGACTCTTAAAGATGTACTCACTCTACTTTTGTGTATGGGATCTCTTTCAACTGCTCTTCTGACAGTCCAGATGGGTCCACAAGTTCCTTCCTAGGAGAGAACGAGCAATGAGGTAAAAGCTGTCACGCCTGCATTCATACCTTCACCAACTGGCATGCTTCCCCTTTCTGCCCTTGTCTCAAAGTGTGGGCCTAGTGAAAGTACTATGCATGTGTGATGTGTACAAAGCTGAGAAAACTAGACTGTGTTCCAAAAAAAAAAAAAAAGGGAGAAACACTCTCCTGCAGCTCTTTGCCTCTCTTCGTCCTGTCTATGTCCACACTCTTCAGAGGCCCCATTTCAGGCATGGCTAAGCTTCTCTCCCTGTGGCGATGTCTTTCTTCTCTATATAGATTTGCTTCTCTCTGCATTCCTTTGTAAACTGCTGGCCTACCTGAGGTGCATTCACGGGCAAACTCAGTGACCTTGGAGATGAGGTATGGTCTCCCTGTAGTCAGCTGCTATATGGCCCCCGACACCAGCGTCAGCATCAGACAATTCAGAATGGGCAGAAGCACCTGCTGAGGCCCCAGACCAAGGCTCCTTGCGGTGGCACTGGTTTATCTTGTAACCGATTTAAAATTGCACACAACACGCTGGACACACGGCTCAGCAATTAACAGCATTTGCTGCTCTTGAAGAGGGCCCAGGTTTGGCACCCAGCACCCATATGGTGGCTCACAACCGTCCGTAATTCCGGGGATCTGGCACCATCAGGCATGCACAGGTGTATAAACATCCACATGCTCAAAACATTCCTATTGTGTGTTTACTCGGAATATGTGCATATATATTCTTTAACTGCACACGTGGGAGAGAACCAGTACTCACTGGATGTGCTTCCACAGCTCTTCCTTTGCTTGGATATCAGGACTTCTTCTGTAAATAAACACACACACAAAAATTCACTTCCACAATATGTGCCATCCACAGACCCTAAGAGTTACCTCTAACAGTTCTATAAGCTCTCGCTTGCCGTGCTGACAGGAAACACGGGCAGCGAGAGCTGTTACAGCGATCAGTACAAGGACAGCAGGAAACACATGGGCCAGTGAGACTGAAGAAGTCACATAAATGTACATCAATAAAAGTGAGACATCAGCAGAACTTCATTTCCGGAAGAGCCTGGAAGCCAGGCTCAGTGGCACAGACCTTGAGAGGCAGAGGCAGGGGTCTCACCCAGGTTTGAGGCCGGCCTGGCCTGCCAGTGTTACACAGCAAGAGCCTACACATCACAAGCAAAAACTACATTAAAAAAAAAAAAGCTCAGACATTTGGGGCCATATGTGCAAACCCTCTCTTCTAGTGACCTGTAGTGGCAATGATTTAGGGGCAACAGTTCCTGGTTTTTCTGTTTACTTTTTTTATTGCACTTATTTATGTGTGCTCGCGTGTGCGTGTCCTCACAAACGCTGGACAGTTCACAGGAGTCAGCTCTCTGCTTTCCCTGGGACTCAGCTCCTCAGGCTAGGTCTCCTAAGCTGCCGAGCCACGGCAGCAGCTACGTGCTAACTAGAAGAGTGCTACGTCTCTAACTAGAAGAGATCTCATTTCTGTTACCCGCCCCAACACTCTCACCATGATCTATGATGCCCCAGTCCGAGCAAGAGCCCCGAGGGAAAGGCACGGGGTGCAATAACGCACCACGAGCTGTCGTGGGATACCTGCATTTCTGCACCAAAGTACAGGCCACCACGGACCGACCTGGGGCTTCCACGCGTGCTGCCACCCTTTCCCTGAAGACCTCAGACAGATATTATAGCACTATGTTTAAAGTCCCGGGATAAGAACCCTGAAGTCACCGTCGGTGTTCACATTGTCCACGGGTTAACTGTCGATCTCCACTGTGGCAAGGGACAGGAAAGTTATTTCAGTTGTTGCCACAGAATGGACCTAGGAGAAGAGAGATCTATTAAAAGGTCCAAAGAAAGGTCCTAAGCCCTAACAATGAAAAAGGCCAAGAACAAGCCAGGTGCGGCGGCTCAGGCCAAGAATTAAGCCGCTGATAAACCCCACCTGTGGAATTCTACTTTGCGGCGCAGTATCGCTTCCAGCACGAATATCATCAATGCCTTCATTTTTCTCTCCTGCCTTCTGGCAAGGCCTTCTGACTCCAAAGAACACAATAAGCTATTTACTTGGCTACAAGATTTACTAAGCGGTTTTTCCTTTGTGTTGTGTGGACCGGGTGAGGGGACAGCAGAAAATCTGCCCTTTAGATCAAATTAGAAGGAGTGGAATGTAATAAGGGCGGGAGACAAAGCCCCCGTGTCCAACCAAGAGTGCCGCTGCGCACAGATGATGTTATAGCAAATCCTATGCTTTAAAAGACCATAAGACGGCTCTAGAAAGTCTCCTGAACAAAACCCGCCTTTCCTACACTCTGCCCACCTGATCCCGAGTAGTACGTTAAACCAGTACATGATACTAAGAAGGTGCAAGTATTTCAGGGGCTAAGCACACTGGGTCAGCATGCCGTTCTCACGGGATGCCACTCTCTGCCGACAGCCTGTTCTCTCAGGGAGGCTGGAAGGATGGGTTAACTGTCTTTCTGTCATAGGAAGGTTTTGCACCCTTGGCTCTGCTGATATTCTGAGCAATAACTCCTTGGGGGCGTCTCCGTGCTTGGTTAGATTAGGTCAGACTAGAAGCCAGCAGCCTCCCTGGGGAGCCCACCAGATGGCTCAGCAGGTCAAAACCCTTGCCACCAGGCCTGAGTTGGAACTCGCCTGGTGGAAACTCTCAAAAGGTTATTCTCTGGCCCCCACACGCATGACATAGCACATAACTCTCACCTGACGCCCTAACGCAGACAAGCAAATAAATGGAATTAAAGCTGTTAAATGGCTCTAGACATTGCCGAGTGTCCCGGGAAAGACAGAGCTGCCCCACCTTAAAACTCCACATCCCAGGGCAGCTAACGGGACGTGGCAGAAGTGAGCGGACACGCTGCTGTGAAGATCCAGTGTGTGGCCACGGACACAGTGCAACAGCAGGCAGGGATTACATAAGAGGAAAGGAGGGCGAGACCTGGTCACAGAGGACAGTGTGAAGAGTGGTATGAGCTGAGAGCCTGAGGTGCAGAGCTTAATGCGTCACAAAGGATGAGGAGGAAGAAGATCGTGCAAAGAACATACAGCCCATGACCAAGCCTCCGGCTGAGAGATGAGGAGGAACAACTATTTTGGAAAATGAGGTCCATGTGTGCATGTGTGTGTGTATGTGTGTGTGTGTGTTTCTGTATGTGGTGTGTGTGTGATGACTCAGCAGGTGTATACCGTGTGTGTGTGTGTGTGTGTGTGTGTGTGTGTGTTTCTGTATGTGGTGTAATGACTCAGCAGTCCTATCCCCAGGACCCAAGACAGACGAGAAGAGCCAGCTCTTAGAGGTGTCCTCAGACTTCCATACATCCACCATGGCAGGCACACACCTACACACACACACACACACACACACACACACGCACTGGAAAGGAATGCAG